GGGGGGGGGGGGGGGGGGGTGAGAGAAATGCGCACGAAAGAGGGTAAGGGGGAGACAAAAAGGTGCTTGTGCGTGCGTGCGTGCGTGCGTGTGCGCGCGCGCGTATGTGTGTGTGTGTGTGTGTGTGTGTGTGTGTGTGTGTGTGTGTGTGTGTGTGTGTGTGTGTGTGTACGTGTCTAAATCAGCAAGGTATGATGCGTATGCATATGGGTCGAGTGCACAAGTAAGGGAAGGGTGCCGTTCACGCCGCCAGCAACGGCGACGCGCCGCTCCTGTCTCAGGGCGCGAGCAGAGCTGCGCATCGACATTCGTGGGGCACGCGGATCCTGCAGCCCCAAGAGCACCTCCTCGGCTTCCCCAAAGGCCCCTGAGAAACGCCTCGAGGAGCGCCTGGACTCCCGCAGCCGCCGCAGAGCCCCCCGCAAAAACAGGTGCCCCTGCTTGCCCTGCCCCGCTGCCGCCCCATCATGCCACTCTCTGGATGCTCCTTCGCCCCCTCCTTGCCGCCTTGCAGCCCCCTCCCTGCGTGCCCCCCGCCCTGGTCATCTGGCACTTACTGCCCCACCCCGTGCCGACCCGCGCCGTCCTGGCCCATCCCCCCTTGTCCCATGCCGCCCCGCCCCGCCCACTGTCTGGGCGTCCGCTCACCCCCTTTGCCAGTGCCATGTGGGCCTGGAAGTAGTCCTTGAGGTTGCCCACGTCCTCCCAGTACTGGCGGGGGTGACGTCACACGAGGGGCCGATGACGTCATGCGGGGGTCGAGGGCCAGGAGAGGAACCACGCTTAAGTAGTTGAGGGGTAGGGGGGCGCTGGCGACGCGCACACAGACAGTCCGGAGGCCATCTGCAGGAGTCGCCTTGTGAGTCAACATGGCGGAGGCTCTTCACGTACGAGCGTGTCAAGCACAGGCGCGCGTGTGGGGGCGCGGGCGCCCTTTTGTGTGCAGTTGCTCTGCTCGCGGCGGCGGCGGCAGCGGCGGGGGGCCGGGAGCGAGGCAGGCGCACCGTGGTGTGTGGGTATGCCACGATGCGGCGCTCCCCTATGACTGCGGGAAGCACGTCTCGGCTGAAGTCCACGGCATGAGGGAACTCGCGGTACAGCAGGTCAAGGAGGGCCTGGGGGGGAGGAAGAGTGTTTGCATGGTGTGCATAGTGTGTTGTGGGTGCTGTGTATGCGGTGTGTGTGTATGTGTGTCGTGGGTGCTGTGTATGTGGTGTGTGTGTATGTGTGTTGTGTGTGTGTATTGTTTGTGTATGTGTGTATGTTGTATATGAGTCCTTGCACGCACAGGGTTGCACCTTGATGGCGGTGCAGCACGCTTAAAAGCGGCCGTTACCCGACAAAGCAGGGCAAGTGCGTCCGCTCGACGCTTGTGAGAGGGCGAGCAGGGCGCATGGGGGGGTTGGCATTTCGGTGACCCATATATACATCAACAACCCCCACCTTCTTTTTGAAGACGTAGATGCCCATTGATGCCACGTAGGGCTTCTCCTCCGCATCATCAGCGCACAGGCCTGACGCCCCACGCCGGGGGGGGGGGGGGCAAGTGCGCCCAGAGACATTAGCCAAGTCAGGCGCCGCCCGTTGCAGGGGTGCGTGATTGGGGCACGCACCTCGCCTGCACGCCCGCAAGCCGCCACTTGTACTGCGGCCAGGGGTCGGCTGCACGGGAAAGCCCTAACAGCCGGGGTTGGGCGCGTCGTCCGGCACCGCCCCACAGCACGCGTGTGCTCGAGCCTTGCGCCATCAGACAGGGCTGGCGGGGAGAATCACAATCACTACCCCCAAAAACGGAGTCCCGGTGGCTCCAATCAGCGCAAAGGTGCCGTGAGCAGGCTGGATGAAGCCACTCGACGCACGCAGCGCAGCCTGCGGCGTCGCCCCCCCCCCCCCCGGGGCCCACCGTAGCTTGTGTAGCATGACGTATCCATGGACATGGTGTGCAGCATGGCCTCTGGCGGCTTCTCCTCAAACTGCTCCACATTCATGTCCTCGTCAACCTGGGTCGATTTCGATGGCATTGTTTGGGCGGATTCATTACTATGTTTCCAAGGCGCGGATTGGAAGCGTTTTTCAAGGATTGTGAAGGACGGGGATGGGGCCAGAATGTTTGATATGATCGTCGAGGGTGGGTTTCGGTCGTCGTCAAGGGGTGAGCGGCGAGGGGTGAGGCGTGTCCAGCTGAGGGGCGGGCGTCCTCCAAGTTCATGCCCAGCAGGGACCCCGCCCCCGCTGTCTGAATGCAGCCTAGTGGGTCCCCGACACCCGGCCTGCATGCCAATTCGCTGCTGAGCGCAGCGCGCTCTCGACTGGTCATTCTCCTGTCTGCTGCGCACCTGCGACGCGCCCAGGGG